AAGCAGTAGGCTTTCATATCTTCGCTATTTGAGTCTGTCCTCAGACAACAGCCATTCTACTCAGTCATCAAGAGAGAGTTTCACACTGGCCTTCTTGTAGACTCTCTACGGTTTCCCTTGTACAATGGATACCCCTCGGTTGCTACCTGTCCTCCTCCTCTCTCAGGCAATCAGTGGAATTTACCATTCTGTTTCATGTTGTTGGTTGTAGCCAGTGATTGCCTTCAAACGAGTGATTCCGTCACATCAAAGATTCTGAACAAACGGCTAGAAATGAAACTTGCTTAAAGAGTGTAAAAACCGGAAGATAGAGACTGCTTTGCGTGACCAAATGGAGTTGACCAGAAGGTGTTGGTCTCACCGGCCACACATCAGCTCTACAGACGTCGTGATTGCCTGTTTCTTCCTCTACAAGTCCTCGGAGACCCTGCTTCAGACGGCCACCCGGATCCATCTGATCCGACTCATCTGCCTCGGTGAGACGGCCCACCTTCTCGCCACTCCGCCTGGAGACGCGATTCCGGGCCCAGGCAACAATGCAACCGGCCTGGATACATTGATTCCCGCAGCCCGACTGCTTGGCTTCTGCGATCAGCTTGCCAATCAGTTGACCGAGTCCGGCGGTCTGTTGCAGACCGATGAAGGTCTAGTAACCTCTCTGCTGCTGCCGTTAGAGCGGCTGGTACAGATGAAGGCTTCGGCCTACCTGACGGCCTATCGGGTTCTGCTGAACGCACCAGCCGCCGTCATCTGCCTCTGCTTCGGCCGTCTGTCCGACCACTTCGGCCGGAGGCTCATCATCCTGTTGCCCTGTTTCGGCGGCATTCTCGCCTGCATCCTCTTCGCCTGCTCCCTTTCGCCGGCCGCTCGGAGTCTGGCGGCTCTGGCAGATGAGTCCAACGACCGAGGAGGCCATGCAGAAGCCGAGACAGGCGTCTTCCTGGCAAAGATGCTTGTGCTGCTGGGTGCTCTGGTCTACGGCATTTGTGGGAAAAGCAGTTCCGTGAGCATGGGCTCCAGTAGTTACATCACCGACACCAGTCAACAGGCTCAGCGAACTCGACTGCTCTCACGCCTGATGGGCGCCAACTGCCTCGGCCTCTGCTGTGGCGCTCTGTTGCTGGCGCTGTTCGCTCGGCTCGCCAGCTACACCGAAGTGGTCATCTTCTCGGCAGCAGCAAATGGATTGGTCGTCGTCACGGCCCTCTTTGCGGTCGCCGAGACCCGGGGCCCATTTGGCTATCTACAGACTGGAGACGACGAACCGGCGGAAAAGGACACGATGGATACGTACGCTCAATTGCCAGGGCTCAACTGTCCGGCTCCCGAAACGCAAGCGTCATCGTCAAGCTTGCGATCGCGCGGCTGGACTCTGCTGATCTTGGTCTGTTATCCAGTCAGGCAACTCGTGAGCTCCTTCACCAGCCTCCTACAACTTCGTGAGGCGCGTGGACGCCTCTTTCTCTTCTTCCTGCTTGCCATGGTTCTTTTCAATCAGGTCACCAAGGCCGGCGAACAGGATGCCCTTTTGCTCTACTCTACAGGCCGCCCACTCGCCTGGCCAGCCGTTGTCTACGGTGCTTACCTGGCCGTCTATTACGGCTGTATGTCGGTGGTTCTGCTCGTTCTCCAACCGATGGTGGAGCATTTTTTCGGCCCTCGAGACACCACACTCATCCTCTTGGGTATCAGTCTGAAGACGGCTCGTCTCCTGGTCACTGGGTTGAGTGTCAGTATGCCGCTTCTCTTCACCTTCGCGGTACTAGGCTCTGCGGCAGGCTTCATCATCTCAGCTGTCAAGTCGTTGATCAGCAAACTGGTGGCAGCAACTGAGGTGGGCGCTGTTTTTGCGTTGGTCGCTTGCCTCGAGACTTTGGCCAACTTGATCGGTGGCAGCTTCTTCTCGGCCGTCTACGCTGCCACTGTGGCCCAGTCGCCTGGCGCCGTGTTTCTCATGGACGCCGGTATGCATGTCGTCGCGGCCGGCCTCTACGTCTGGTTGAGGCTGGCCTTGCGCCGTTCGAGTCTGACTCAACTGGAAAACATTGACGGCTCGTCAGGCGCAGACGGCAAATTGGAAGGCGGGAAGACCGTCAAAGGTGAGGATTGTCAAGCGGTGGGCGGCAAGATTTCTGGACGGAACGAAGCAACAGACAAAGTGGGAGATGGACCATTGGCGGAGCAACAACTCTGGCCTCAACAGAAGCTGGGGAGACTCAAAACCCTCATTCGGGAGGGATGTCGAGGACCGATGAATTTGTCAAGAAAGGTTCACCTGCCTCGAGTGCTCGGCATGGCCGACATGAGAGTCCACCTGGTGCCCGAGACTGCGTCGACCTGTTCATTCGGTGAGTTGATGGAGCGCGAACGAGCCCGTGATCGGAATGCCGAGGCTGACAATTTCGCCAGATTCTCGAGGCAAAATGAAGGGATTGGAGCCAAGTTGAAACCGTTGAAAAGTGCCAACTGACGAGAACTTCAAAGAGGGTATAGGTTGATCTGTGGACGAATTGACATTTAATTTAAGGTTCATTTTGACAGCCTTCATGTGTGGATCTTA